GTGGAAAATTACTTTTGTCGAACGCTGTGTATGTTAAATATTTGTATTGCTTAGAAGTTTTTTGACAATAGCTTACATTAGTTAGTGATAAATAATTTAATGCCAAATAATTTAATAATGTGCTTGTTCACGCTTGCCTGGTTATCAGGCTATCTGGTTGAAAATAATTTTTCTGTAGTGCATTTTATTGTTCTAAAGTGAATAAAAGATATAACCACATAACCTGATAACCAAGGAAGTGTGAACAACCACACAACCACATAATGCCAAATTTTTTTTTATATCCTTACCAGATTATAAGAGCAAGAGTGATCCTTTTTGTAAAGTTTGAAGCCTCTGGAATCGTGTATTGCTAAAATTTGTTATCCCTTTCATTATTATACACTCTAAAAATTTTTTTTTAATTTGCGTATTTATATTAAGACAGGTTTCCTCTCTTAATGGATGCAAATTTACACACCTTGTTAATTAAATTAAACATTGCTTGTATACTTTTAATTATCATATGTCTGGCGTAGAATATGTTTGAAATTTGTTTTTTGAGTTCTAAACATTTATTGTTCACAATTCCACAGTTTACACATAAACTGTTTAAAATTTCCTCTCAAAATGTTTTGTTTAAATTTTCGCATATAAAAAGAGGTAACCAGTTTCTTCTGCTAATGTGTGCAAAATTAAACACTGTCTGTTTACTTTTACATACCAAATTTGCCACGTAGAGAAAATTTACACCCAAAGTGCTTAAAATTTAGTAATCTTAATATTTATTATTTGTAAAAAAATATATTTTTACTTTGAAAATGTTTGTAATGTTAGAAATTTCATGTGTATATTTGTGTGTATATTTTAAACAACTCATTTTCAAAATCAAATCTTGAACATGTTGTGCGTATATTTCCGCAGATTCTAGTTGAAAAATAATCACTTTTCAGTAGTAGTTTTACATGCACTTTTTAGAGTATATTTTCGACTGTTTTAAATATTAGGCAACTCGAGGAAGGGTTTTGGTAAGTCCGCTTAAGAGTTCACTCGATGACCAAAAAGAAAAGAACACACCCCTAAAACCGTTTCGATATTTGGCGAGTCCAAACAATTGATTCATTGAAACTGTACAAATGAATACTGGGGCATGGTAAAGATCAGATAATTCTTGAGATTTTGTTTTTCGGGAATCTAAAAATTGCGTCCATATGGGTAATAGGTCTGCACCCTATTCCTACTTCCATGAGAGAAAGGATTTTCAAGCTCACCTTGATTGTTTGGGAATAAAAAGAACACCAATAAGAATTTTTATAATTGGTTTTCAAAGTTACAGGAGCCTTTTACTTAATTAAAAGTAAGTAAAAGTATAACCTCATTTTTGTTGTTGGTAATTCCGACAGGGTAGGAGTGTGATGTAATGTGGAACGATTTTCCGTCATCCCTTGTCAAATTTGGTTTGGAGACAAACCGGTTTCGGCGTTGTGCCATCTTCAGTGTCATTTTTCGTTCTGTATAAGTATAACCCTTATAACTATACGACACTGACATATCAAGTTTTGACTATTTATTGCAATATTATTTTATTTTAATTATTTTTTTATAAAAATGTGGCTCATTCTACAGAAGAGGATATATGAATCTAGGTTAAAAAGAAAACAAGAAACTTTACACTGTTTATTATATATATATATTTTTTTTCGTTACGCATTTTATAGTCCATTCTATTTTACATATGTTGTATAGTAAAAGGCAAGTTTGAAGTTCGAGTATCTACAAAATACCATTGATTTTTGGCACTTCATTCATGTTGCAATGATCGGAACTAAACCAAATTATTTTGGGATTACCCTTGTGGCCCCCCAATTTTCCGACGAGAAAAGAATAATCGAAAACGGTTTGCGTGGTTGGTTCAAAGTTATCGGGTAACGTACAAAAAAAAAAAATATCCCGATCAATTGATAATCGTCCCCCTTTTTTAAACTTTTCAATTTAGTTTCTTCATAAATAAAACATTGAAATCTGTTCTATGCTAGCTCAACTCAACTCAGTGCAAGTCACTATATTTTTTGTGCTTTTATTTACCAAATAATACAAATTGCCAATTAGCTGCGGTCGATGCTGCTTTAGTGCCACTGTAAAACAGACAACCTTAAAGCCTAATTAAGATGTTTGTGCCGAAGTTACTGAAAAATTAAATACAGATAAAAATATAAATATATCTGATATGCTCTAAGATGCATAGTAATTGAACTTATACATAAATATTTACATTAAAATGTTAAAATCGTTGCTAGATATTGATCCAGAAAAGATATTTATTTACTGAAATAGCCCTATGAGCCAGTGGTGGTTAATTTAGGGTGGTCCTAAAATGCATGTGAAAAAGTAAAGTCGGATTTTTTTTTGCTCTCACCTCCTAGGATTGTTCTATACCGAAAAAATATGGCCAATTTTTTTTTTTTAAATCAAAAAAAAAAATTAGAAGTGGCTCAAAGCGCTAAACGTTTTTCATGTATTTTATATGGGTATAGTAACTATATTTTGTAGGTACGCCGAAACCCCAAGAAAATGCAATGGGTGGAAAAATAAAAAATCTGTAGTGCTAAAAAATGGTTAAATAAACAATTGGGTATTGTTATTGGAAGTCACCTGAAGAGAACCAGAGTTTTTCGATCGAAAAATATTGATTTTTAAGAATTCCATACCATTTCAACGAAAGTTGTTTTTTTCCCCATATAAAATACATGGAAAATTTGAGCGCTTTGAGCGACCTATAAATATATTTTCATAAAAAAAATTGGGGTATACAGAACAATCCTAAGGTGTTTTTCAATCGGAAGTCTTTGCAATATTGAAGTGGCATTCTTCATTATTTCTATTGCTTTGGCTTTGTTGTAGCTGTAAATTTTCTTGAAGAAATAAATATGCCAGAGCGGCAAACTCTTTTCCATATCTTTTGCGTCATTTCATATGAATTTTTCGTTTTTCTTGAGAGCTGCAGACAGCCCTTAAACCCGAAATCTAGCCGGAAAATGGCTAAAACGGCAACACTGATTACAACGCAGCATTGCAGTTACAAATACGACAAAAAAATATATACGAATGCATCATATATGTATGTACATACATATGGATGTAAGCGTGAACATGGAAAACGAAATACACATATGTATGTACTATGTATACTTTTCTGTGAGCGAATTTTCACAAAATTTAACTCTGCTGACATGCTTTGTTTGTTAATGTATTGTAAATTATGCATTGAAGTGTAACGACACAGTTTTCTTGCTTTAATTATCTCAACCTTGATATGTACGTAAACAAATGGAAAAATAGTGGTGAGATTGTGATTAGTGCATTATACCCAAATTCTATTCTATCCTAAAAAATTAGTTACATCAACCAAGCGCGAAGCAGTCAAATATTTTTCATAGTTAACATATTCCAATACGGTTATACTCATACATACATACATAAGCATTTGTTTTCACGCTTATCACAGCTGAGTCAATGTGTGTGTGGTAAAAGCTTGCTAAACTGCAGCCTTGTCATAAAATCACTGCAAAAAATTAAGTTATGTACGCACATTTAGTTCATGACTATGTAATCTAGTAAATTTTAGCATAACAAAATCGATGCAGCATAAATGAGCTTAGAAAAAAAGCTAACAATCAGCACCGAGACTTGGCGCTTTTAGTAGGTTCAAATAGTGTTTATGAAGTGTTTCTTTGGATGGGCATTCTTTACTAAGCATTATTTTAGGCACCAATAAAATGGAATAAGAAATACAAAGGCCCACTGGAACTATTTATAAAGAAGACTTTAGTTAAATACTTAAAATGGGCATTTTGAAAGACTTTGTTGTAAAAACGTGCCATTAAACAAAGAGCATAAAAAACTTAGTTTTAGTTATAAACTGAAATTCTTTTAAACTGTGTGTGTGCCGCGATTCGCTTATCTAGAGTTTTCTCCAGGATTGCAGTGCCAGGTCTGAAGCCATACTGATAAGGTATAATCAGTTGGTTCGTAAAGGGCTTCATATCGTCGACAGCACCTTGTAAGCAATATAATATTTATGTTGGCGCTTACACAGTATCTAAGTGTTTGGCCGAGCTTCTCCTCAAAATTTGCAGTGGCGTGCCTCTTGATGTTGTTACACAAATGCAGTGAAATACAGTTTTACGACCCCTTCGAACAGCAAATGGATTTTATGAGACTCGTTTTTATAGAAGAAGTAAACCGTTTTCTAAATTAGATGTTGCTCAGACCAGGAATGGAACCCAAGTCCTACGAAGTGATGGTACGCATATTTAACCACTCAGCGAAAATGGCGGGATCTCCCTTACTGTCGATTGGACAAAGTACACTCAGCTTCCAGTCTTCGGACCAAATTCTGCTTAACAGCGGGTACTTGCGCCCCACCAACTCTTCGAGCACAGGCTTTGAATAGCCTTGTTATTCTTAAACCGTCTTATCGTTGTTTTCACGTCTGTTTTTTTAAATTATGTATGTGCAATTTTCCATAACCACAAATTTTTTGCAATGCCGTTTTTATGCATCACTTTACGAGTCACTGTGTCACGCCAGCTTACTCTTTGTTTCAGAGATTGCAGAAGTAGCAGCAGCAGCAGCAGCAGGAATTCCCAACAATAACAATGCCTAGTTACAACAACACCATAGTCGCACAAGTCACAAAGAAACCAACCAATTTACTCGTACAATGGCGCTCAAGGCATCGATACTGAAACAGTTGCGTGTTTTACATAATGAAATTAAGGCATTCAAAGAGCAAAGCAACGCCAACTACAACAACGATACAAGTTTCATCGAAATAAAAGAAAAAAACTGCATTTCATTTGCAACCAACACAGTTTGATAAAAAACAAAAACTGCATCTGCACTTGAAGTGGTGGTAGTATACATACATAGGTGTTGCAGTCAGGCCATACGAGTTGCATTGGTCGTAGTTTTCCGCAAATACCCATACTCCTTGGCACGATTAGCAATACATCAGCTGCGAGTTGTTAGTTGCAGGCGAGTATCGAAGTTGGATTGTGGCCAAAATGCGAACGCGCATCGAAAACGAAAGCGAGAGTGAAAAAAAGGTGAATTTTTCCAGTGTAAAAAATGCAAAAGAGATTGAAGCTCAAGCGGAAATTAATGGAAACAACCTTTTATGCAATTAAAGTGTGCAGTGATTTTCAATAAAAGATTTATATGCTGAGTGCAAACAATACATACATAAGTAAATAGTTCCTGGAAAATAAAGTGCTGCCTATTTTTCTGATTGTTGCAGCATAGCTGCGTATTACATAAAGCGCATTAGCCCACTGGCACACACACACACACACACACACACGCGTACATACATTCAACACGTTGCAGCATAGCTTACACTGGTGGAGCACCCCATTTATTTACCGCTACGTGCGCACAGCTCAAATCTACTGCGGCTGTGTGTGTGTTCGCCCAACTAACCGACTTATCGAGTGCCCATTCGGATCTGCAGCAAAAAAAAAAACACAACAACACAATAAACCAGCTGCCAGCCATACAACTGGTTAAACGGCAAATCAGCAAATCAACTTGCGATCGCACCCGCATCACTCATCCAGCCAGTCAGTGCGCTTCAATTGATTGCAATTGCCGGCCTGACCACCGCTGTCAATATGAAGTGTCGTTGCATTGTCGATTTTATTGCCGTGGCCGTTGTCATTGCAGCGGCCAGTGGTCTAATTATTTTCGCCATAGCAATGCAGAACTCCAGCCGCCGCGTGGAGCGAAAGTTGGCGGCGCATGAAACCAATTTAACGAAAATTGCTGAACAATTGATGTTTATAGGCACAACAAAACCAACCGATGCTAAGCTGGTGGTAAATACCATTATTAACGAACTAACAACCGAAGTAGGAAGTTTGGCAAATGTAATAGAAAATACAATAACAAATAATAAAAGTGCCGTTACAAATTATACTGACAATGTGTCAATGATAATAGAGCCCGTGGCCGCCGCGCAGGCCTATGAAGAACCTAGAATTCGTTTAGCAACAAGTGCAACGATCCCAACAACAACAGTGACAGCGGTGGAAACTGAAATGCCGGGTTATATAACCACGTTTAATGCAGCAGTTATTCCAACAACCATTACAACAACAAGGATAGCAAGACTGAGAGCGAAACCAGTGGCGGCAGCCATCGTGGCAGCAGCACGCGCAGCCAGCGACTCATTTGAGGTAGCTAGATGTGCGCTTTATACACCTACATACATATGCATGGACGTTAGGGTGCCCACTATTGACCAAGTTGGTTTTTTTTTGCTACTCCCCATGAATTTTTAGTTTTTGTTGATTTTTTACTCTAAAATGTCAAAAAGGTAAACAAAATTTGACATTGCAGAGTAGAATTAAAACTCATGGACCACTTGGAATGAAAAAAAAAAATCAAAATTGCAACCTACATATTCAATATTTAACGTGCCTTGGTTTTTACCCTAAATAAATATTTATTTTTTTCTTGTTATTTATGGCCTTATGACAATTATAATTAACAATTTTATTGAACTTGAGGCTGTTTCTAATGACAAACTTCGGAGGAGTGATTTCTATAAAAATTTACACTTATTTGTTTCAGCGAAAGAAATTTACTACAAAAAGTCCAAAAATCACATTTTATTTAAACAGCTTTCTTGCTTCATTTTCTGACATTCGACTGCCTTATAGTAAAATTTTAAAGACAAATTTTCAAACAAGGCAGTGTTAAAACCTTTCTTCTCGCTCTAATTACTTCACCTGGTATAATTCCACTATGATTTAAATGTGAAATGTGACATGATTCCAGCACAGTTCAATTTGAAATACATTTTTTTACTGCATTTTTTTAGGGTTATAAACTAAAAAATAAACAGGGGCGGCAGCAAAAATAAAAAACCAACCTGGGAAACAACGGACACCCTAGTGTACATACATATATTCGCGTGAAAGTATTAGTACACAGCAAAGTACAATAAAACTGTTTAAGTGTTGGCTGAGTAATGTCGTTCTGCGCTCGTGTTGCATCAAAGCAAATGTAGCAACAAATCTCTTGCATTAGTTTTTGCGAATGTTATTTTTGTTTCTGTTTTTCTGTGTTTTATTTTTTTTAAGTGCTATGCATTAGGTTACAGCCTCTTAGCGCGCCCAATGGAGTTCAAAAAAGTTGAGTTGATTTGACTTTTTAACCACACTGAGCTTCATTGTGTTGCGCTGTTGAGTTTTTGAAACATTTTTTCGCACAATGCGGAAATGTTAGTTCGTGTCATATGGCTTTTTTTGTTTTGGTTTTTACTTTTCGTTTTTCATTGCTGAAACACGCTTATGCTTGTATATATTTAGCAATGCGAATTTCAGCATCACTAAGGCAGTAATGTACATCATTTTAGTTTATGTTTTATCTTATTTCATGTTAGGTATTTTGTAGTGCAAAACTATACATAATGCATCATAATTTGTTCTACACAATACTTGATGCTTTTTTTTAATGTTTTTAGTGTAAATTTTAAAGATAATTTTGTCATTGTAGCTTTATGCTTTTAAGGCAAGAACAATAATACTGTACAACACCAAAAACGAAAAAAGGTTCTCTTAACGGATTCTGGAGGAGGGGGCAAAAAAATATATATGTACATATATACATACACATGTATTACCAGGGCCGTCGAGAGAAAACTCGGCATTTTCACGACAGCCGGCTCTACGTACCGGAATGACTCGGGTTCTACGCGACTAATGGCTATAGTTTCGGCGATCCAACCCCACTCTGCTTAGGACTGGCATAGGGTCAAACCCAGGATCATAAATTTATACCTGCTGCGTATGCCAGAAACGATTGCATGCAAACTTCACCTCGGTGCAACGCCTGTGACGGGTGGAGTCATCTTTAGAGCATGCTCCGGACTCCGCTGTACGCGTGATTGGACGAGTGAAAACTTGGGCCCCTTCTATGCTGCCTAGTTCCAAACTCTGTTGAATTTCGCCGGATACAATGTGCACGTCGAGGCCTAGCGTTCATCACGCACCACACCGTGCAGGTATCGTCTTATGGAAGCAGACATACCATCCTAGAATGTCAGGGTGTTGCTATCCGGTCAGGTGATGTCGATCTCAAAATATCGTAGGGAAACACACTTGGCTGATAAGATAGACGATTCGACATACTGCACAATGAACGACGACGCACCCACCAGAAGCTGCTGCAGCTTGCCAGGCCTAACAATTGTCTGGTCTGATAAACAGCATATCATGGCGACTTATGCTGACCTTAGCATCAGACCATCTGTCTGTACCAACTTCTCCAAAGCTGATTGGAAAGGCTTCGCGGATGTTACTGAAAGCGCCTTCACTGCCCTACCCACACCAACCGATCAAGATCCTCACCGACAAGATCTTCAACCTGTATATGGCCACCGTGATCATTCCAGACATCCGGAAAATGGTGAGAGTGGTCCCCCTGCTTAAACCGGGGAAATCGTCCAACATAAGAGGGTCCGAAGACTCTAGATGCCCTTCTACCCCCGCATGCCATAAATCACCTGACCCCAGCGAAGCATCAGCATGGGTTCCGTAAAGGGCACAGCACAATAGCTCTTAACGCTATAAACTCTCAGATAAGTCGTGGCCTTAACCAAATCGCCCATGTGAGAGAACGGTTCTAGTAGC